CCAGGACCCAAAGATGCATGAGCGACCTGAACCACTTCTGGAAAAGTCACATTTTCCAGGTTACGTGAAGGAGTCACCGCGCCTATTCTAAATCAGGAGGCGGCTGTGCATCTATTTCGGGGAGAGAGGAAGATGTGAAAACTAGACCGGACTCCGGGAAACGTGGGCAGTGGGGTTGGACCGCGCCTGAGGTCCACTCGGTCCCCTTCTGACTCCGCAGGCCCGGGTGTCTTCTTCAGCTTAGGCCGTATTTGGGGCCCCTGCAGGCTGGGGGCGTGGCTCAGTGTAGAGGTCTGGGGTTCACCCCTGCAGCGGAGCGGAACACACTCACTTTTCTTTAAGGGTCTCGACTTTTCAAAGTGAAATCATGCATGAAATAAAACTTAGGTTTTTCACTTGGCTCCTTGTATGTACCGCTAGTTTTTCTTTCAAGTGGTGGGAATCGAACCCCGAGCCTCCTGCCTGCTATGAAAGCTCTTGGCCAACTGAACTACATCCCCAACCATTGCCCTGGAGTAAATTAAGTATGTGTGTTTCTAACCTTCTCTCGATGACTGGGGAGGAGTCCCACGGTATAAGTACCAACTATTTGATCTGCCGGAGGCCCTTCAATGCTCGCCATAAGCACTGAGTAAAAAAAAAAAAAAAAAAAAAAAAAAAAAAATTCCTGAGTGTTTGTAAGCAAGAAAGAAGTCCCGAAGAGCTTAGAGGAAAGATCTGCTAACTTTAACCGAGTAAGGATAGGCAGGGCTTCATGACTGGCTGGGCAGTGTCCCAGCCCCTTGGAGCCCAGCCACAGATGCTAAGAAAGGCCATTCCATGCTGAGGTGATGACATGAGCAAAGGAATGAATGTGTGATGGAAACATAGTTGGGCTAAGTAGTGATGTAAATGTGTAATACAATAGAGAATATGGACATACAGAAACCAAGAGAAAAAGGAAGCAAAGAGGGCAGTAGGCAGTTGATGGGAATTTCGGGGAAATACCATGAAACAAAAAATGCCAAGGAAAACCCCCGGCGTGGGAGGTGGGGAGACACTGAATAGCATTATGGAGGTTCTCCCTGAAAAGGGGGAGAAAGGAAAGAATGGAGTTGATGTTTTCATTAACTATTTTGGCCATTAGGATCTTTCTGATTGGTGAAGACATGAGTTGATTTAGAAACAGAAGAAGGTATTAGTCATCTCTATAAAGAGATGAGACTCACTGGAGACAAGATAAATGTCTGCCCTTAGGAATTTTAAATAAGTAGTGGCAGGGTCACAAAATGGAGAGCAAGAGAATATGTAGTCGAGTCATTAAAAATATAACTCAGGGCTGGAGAGATGGCTCAGCACTAAAGAGTGCCCGTTGCTTTTGCAGAGGACTCGGCTTGGTTCCCAGCACCTATGTGGCATCTCACAATTGTCAGTAATTCCAGCTTCAGGGAACCAGACACTTTCTTTTGGCTTCAGCACCAGGCACACACATGCTACACATACATACATGCAGGCAAAACACTCAGACATGAGATATAAATCAGTAAACAATCTTAAAATACAGTACAGAGCTGGAAATAGATGGCTGGCAGTGAAATTCTTAGGTTGCAAATATGGGCAACTGAGCCCAATTTGCAGAGCCCACATAAAAATAGTTGGTGTGGTAGTATGCATTTCTAATTCCAGCACTGAGGAGATGGAGACCGGTGGATCCCTAGGGCTCCCTGGCCAGCTAACCTAGCCTACTTGGCAAGCTCCAGATAATGAGAAGCCTTGTCTCAAAGACCAAAGTGGATGGCTCCTGAGCAGTAAGACCTGCCAGGGCCTGAACAGCTTTGGGCTTAACCTTACTGGGCTGAAGGGGAAAGAAGAAACAACAGACACACATAAACCTATGCAGAAAAGCAGGGAAGGGGAGGTGGTAAGATCTGGCCGCCACGCACCAGCAGCCCTGGGTGCTGGCTCATTTCAGTAGGGAGTCTGAAGGGCTGCAGTCTCAGGCTGCACTCATCTTAGAGGAGAAAACTGTGCTCCACTCTTCCTGCAAATACTGTCATCATCCGTATTTAGACCAGGGAACGTTCTTACAATTCCCCTAGGTCTAAGGTATCGGTTCTCAACCTGTGGGAGTCACATTTCAGATATTTACAATTCATAACAGTAGCAAAATTATAGTTACAAAGTAGCAACAAAATAATTTTATGGTCAGGGGTCACCACAACATTTGACAACATTAAGAAGGTTGAGAGCCCCTGATCTAAGGTATTGTGATCCTTGACATGACTGTGGTCATGTCAACAATACACATTCACTCAGGACTTCAACACCCAAAGTTGACCTCTGGCCTCCATAAACAGGTATTTGCATATACACCTGCAGGCTCCCAGCATATGCACCCACATGAGCACATATGTTAAAACCACAGTTCCTTATGGGGGGGGGGGAGAAGCACACATGATACATTGTTACTTGAAGGAGCGAGCAGGTAAAAGGTTTGAGAGATATATAAGGACATACCTAAAATATTGGGGATGCTCTCTGAGTGGAGCCATTCTAAGTAATTTTTCACTTTCCCTTTCGTCCCTGTAGAATTGGCTGAATCAAGTCTGGGTATTTTGAAGCCCAGAGCCCTTCTGTTGCAACATGTGTGCTGCCGGTCACACTGGACATCCTCCTACGGAAAACCAAAGAACACAGACAGTCTCCAGAGTCAGGCTGACCTGAGGGCTGCACAGGCCTCATTCTTCATTCCCTGTGCCATCTGGCTCCAGCAACTACAAGACCTTTCTGGGCCTAAATAACTTCATCTGTGAAATGGAGGTAATAACAGTATCCACCTAACAGGGCCTTGTGAGGATCAGAAACGATGTCTGTGGAACGCTCAGGGCCTGCTGCCCGTGAGGTCTCAGCCTGGGAGAGGGAAGCAAAGGGCAGAGGAAACACTTGTTCTTAGCAGTCTCTTCCTCTGCTGTGGTGGCAGTCCTTGTGCCCACAAAAAAAAAAAAAAAAAAAAATCTTCTGTCCTCTGAGACAGTAAAACTGTACTTTTTCACTCTGGATGGAGTCATGGGTGGCCATGTAATAAACGTTGCTCACCAGTGTGGACAAAGGGAATGTGTGACTGGTGACTTTTGGCCAGGTTCTATTTTTCATCTGCCACTACAGCCATAATGCTCAGATGGTGTCTTCCAGAGTCTGATACTAGAGAGGGTGCAGAGCCTCAGTAACCCTTGAGAGAGGCAAAGGACAAGGGAAAAACAAGTCTGGATTTTAGGCCATAGGGAAATTAGGGGGCTCTTTGCTGCAGAAGCCTTGTTTAACTAGTCCTGGGAGGAGAAGGGGCCACTTCCTGGTATTGCAACCTTGAGAAAGGTATTACTCCGCTCAGGCAGCCATCCCTTCCCCTACAAAATGTAGGTGCAGTATTCTCAATCCCAGGTTTGGAGAAGAAATGGTTACATGTTCACAATGTTTCCTGTTGTGCCTGGTAACTGGTAGGGACACACAAAGTGACAGAGTCAGTTGTCATCTCACCATAGCAGCTTCTCTCCCCACCAGCTGAATGAGACCAGCTGTCAGTGCTCAAGTTATCTGGGGGTGCCAGGCCCTTGTCTTTGTATTTCTGCACATTTGTATTGCAGGTATGTGTGTATGTATGCAAGTATGCATATGTGTATGTGTGCATGGGTGTGGAGGCCAGAGGAACATTCCTCGGGTAATATTTACCATCTTTTCTTTTGAGACGGAGTCTCTGGCTGGCCTAGAACTCAGCAAGCTGATGTAAACTGGCTGGTCGGTGCTGAGATGACAGGCTACCATGATTCACTGGTTTGTTTGTTGTTTGTTTTCCACTGAGTTCTGAAAATTAAACTCAGGTTCTCACATTGGCAAGGCAAGCACATGACCCCCTGAGCCATCTCCCCGGCCCAGCCTTTGTGTCCTGGCCATTGCATTTGCTTC